GCTCGAATGGTTCTTGAGAAACTTCGAATAAAGGCCATTTAGTTATCTCTGTAATGATATAAAAATGAGCGTTCTTGCTCATTTTGCTTCCGAGAAACATGCAAAACGGGASGGAAAACATGAAATTTTGCAATAATCTCGCGCCACCCTTGCACAAAACGACGATCACTTTTCTAATTTCATAGATAACAGAAGACTGTATTTTTTCTACATAACCCCCCCCCACCCCTGACTTTAAAGCTGGATCCGGCCCTGCTATATGTTAACTCATTTTATAATTGACTGTATTTGTTCTAAATGACGTGAGAAAAGTATTTGAAAAAGCGCAATTCCCTTGGAAAGCAATTCTAGGTATCAGTTCATGTGACAAACATCCGATAAGAATTTAAACACTTAACGGTTAGATTATGACATGGTCTTAAAGATTCATGGTTCTCACGGTTAAACAAAAACAATCCACACGTGCACATTTGCACCGAACCAAAGGTATTTATGATTCACCTAAGTAGTTGCAGACACCGCTATATTTCACTTAGGAGCTCGAGACGAAATTTGAAACCCTTAACTTCCAATCGTGCTCACTCTCAAACCCCACGCATCGTAATTATAGACTATAGACGCCAAAAATTATAGGCACAAGGGCGAGAAAGAAAACCGCCCCTTTAGACAATAGCGAACCCTCAAAGTGACAGGTCATTTGAGGTATAATTGCCATTTATTCCACGGTTTTTGATGTGGACGCCTTGGAAGTTGCAATGTTCGTTATATTTGGCAGTTTCTGTTCCTCTGGCGTTACTATACAGCAAGCAAAAAAATGGACATCTAAAACTAGAACATGATATTATTACAATTATTATATTCGCATGTAATGACGGGTATTGAGCATATAGGGGTTTGATATTTCATTTTTCATGAGCCCTTATTTGAGTAAAACAAAAGATGCGCTGCTATACTTGAGAGGAGAGGAAAAAATTCCCCTTCAGGCTTTGAACATAAAACGCACATATTCCTTTATAAAGACTCAAGAGCGAGGGGTGTAATGTAGGTCAGTAATACCGTGATTACTCGCAGTATTCCATCATGTACTGCGCAATTTAGGGCATTGCATTCAGTCCTATTAATTAGTAAGAATAAAGAATATCGTAATTAAGAATAAATAGGCTAAGCGATGTAGAAGGTCGAATGGCATGCATTCATCAGCTCAAGGATGCGTAGTTAATAGATGCATTGTAGAAGGCAGAGCTGATGATGGCTGCTATGTTTAACTCAATAGTGCTGTTCGCAGAATTCCGCAATCACAAACAATTAGGTTCGAACTGTAATTATTTTGCGCGGTTCAGGTGAACGAGGAAGTAAACAATAAAATTAGAGCAAGAATCGATCGAAACACCATGAAATCGGAAAATATTACGGTAAGTCTGCCGTATTATCACAGGTACTTTTAAATCTAATGACGACTAAAAAACCAAAAAATCTGCGTTCCAATTATAGGTTTGCGATATACAGTGGATTGCGTGTTGAAGTAACCTCGATGCGGAAAAAATATGACACACTTGCTGGAAAACAGTAACCAGTTTCCTTGATAATGGCCACTCCGGCTTCTTGTTATTGCGCAAGCAAGATAATCGTCAAAATGAATCAACGCTGTACAGAAGGCTTATACGAATTCACGTTTAAACACTGTAATTTTATAGTCCATCTGTAAATCTTTGACGATTACTTGTAACTACCGTGTTTGGTAATTACAGTGTGTTCTCATTTTGACCCGATTTTTCAAAATACGTCTCTTACTTCCGTATGCTTATGCCTCAAAACCGCATCTGATCTAACATTTCCCGATAGACTGTTCATTATTACAGCTCAAAAAGCAACGAGCAAAATAACTTTTGCTAATCCTTGCCCACCAAATGCATTGTCAATACAAACGCGTGTTTAATGAATCATTCTTCCTATGCTGTCATCCATATCATGTTCTTTAATTCCATGATGCAGCCTTCGGTTTATAGTATAATTTGCACCCGAAAATCTCTTTCAATCGAATCATTTTGATTCTCACAAAATAATGATCTTTGCAAGACGCACGTGACTTGCGGACTCCATTTGTTTAGGACTACCGAAATGAAGGGCGTTTGATATTTGACACAATCAACGCGTGGCGCTGTTTGTCTTTCATTCGTCTTTCGCCACAAAGAACTGAACTTATTGTAATCGCTTTTTGAGTCTTCGCTTCAAATCATCACCAGAAAGTTTAGAAGAAAGAAATTTTACTAGAACACGTTTTTCTGTCTAGTCATTTACTGCACTAATAGCAAAAATGGGTTGTCGTCGTCCGGCCTACAGATAAGTTTGTGCCTCAATTGAGCCTCGTC